TGGAGCGCACCGCAGCATTGTAAACTCGACCCTTGACAGAGAAGCTGATGTCACGCCTACGCCACAGGTGACGTAGGTTCGCAAAAGCTGCTCTGGCCTTCCCAATTCGGATGGAAATATCATCTATAGACCGACCACCGGGACTGATACAGCTGCCCAGGAAACGAATTTGTCTACTATATGATGGAATGGAGATAATGCACAACCAAACCAAGGTAACTTCCAGCCTCTTCACCACAGATATCATCGCTGAAATACCAACGATCTCGGAGAGAATTCTTATAGGGGAACACGGACCAAGTTCACTCCCTAGAATGAACAAATTTGCCCAAATCGTCCACGCAAATTCTCAAACTGAAACAGAACAGCAACCTTATATGATCCATGAAAAGCATAACTTCGTGTGTCTCAGACACCAAGTTCCACACGAACAAACCTGGGGTCAATTTGCTCTCTGTTTCATCTTCCCGATCAAAAATTAGGAAAGACCGGACAAGAGTGACGTGCATGGCAGCTAAGATTGTAGCGGAGCCGGAGTAGTTTTGTCAATGTAATCCCCACTGATTAGTACCAGCCGCTTCTATGTAATGTCGAGAAGATGCCGGGTCATAGCTTTTGACTGCCGCGTGACTTTAGGAATATGAATGAAAATCGCGTTGTGGAGCGTGTTGTGATGCTTTGTGCTCGGTGCGTGATGATTGGCGATATTCCAGCAACAATTTCGCTTTGTTCTGAGCTTATCAGGGAAGCAGTTCATGTACTTGTTAGAGCTATTGGAAAGGACCAAATATAACGGGAATTAGCTTACTTTGTCCAATTCGTTTGCAAGTATGTGGAAGTCTTTCTTTGCTATTGGCCACCGTTCATCTTCAAAGGCTTGAATTATCACATCTTTGTACTGATACCAACAAATTTGAGTCTGCCAAGGAAGACCTTGTTTTATTTCCGCCCTTTCAACAAGGCTTTTGACACCATCCTCACTCAGATATCGAGCAACAACTTCCATTAACTTCCTGTAGAGATAAAGTTGCAAAATTCAGTTTTACTCTTGTACAGCTCATAAGGTGTGCAAGTAAACGAAAGAATGCTATCATATAAAGCAAATTTCTTCTTAATATGATGTCACATTATCTGCATCTGGAATGGTAGAGACGAACCTTATCCCGGTGGGTACACATAACGCGAATTAGTGTGGCTGTTTCCTCAAGGAATTCATGTGCTTCGATTGTTCACAGCTAAGCAGTCCAAGGACTTACCTGATGTGTTCGGAATTAGCCTTTTCTGCTGTACAAATTGACCGAACATATGATTGAACATGAGTAAGTCCCCAGAGTTGAAAACGTGGAGATTGTTCTATATCATAGGTGAAGCAACCTATTTTTCCAATAAATATCGGACGATCACACACATCTTGTGCGATTCGTCCAGTGCTTAGTACAGTGGACTGTGTCACATGACCAACATAATGCATCCATTTACGTCGTTCTCACGGTACTGGAATTTTCAATCAGGTTGTCTAGATGGTTCACCCAATCATAAAGGTAATGAACAATAACTGAACACTGTTTTGAATTGCCACAGGTGGGACAACGGCTTGAATAAGTCTGTGTAGGAACTCAAGTAAACCTGATGGGAATGCTAGTTTTACTGGACGCAATACGACCACGCCAACCTTCACTTATCAAGCAAGTGCTCCCACTGATCAAGGAGGTTCGTCCTTTCGTTTAAGGACAGCGCACCTGAGTTCATACTCAAAATCACCTATCCAACAATGCCCGAGTTCATGCGTCTTCTGCACAAGTTGATTTGGTTGCTTTGACCCATATTTCAATTCAATAGGGGTCTGAGTGTTTACAAACAGTTAATCAAATAGTTTCCGACATGTGCGTAGGACTGGATGGTCATCATGCCACTAATTTCCAGTTTGAAAGGTGGTAATAGTCTATCTTTTCAATGACTGTCATTTGTATTGGGACACTTTAAGATGCATCTTAGGCTATTTTGGAAGTTCACCGAGACAACTTGTGGAAAGAAAAGACGCTGTAACCACCATCATATTAGGTTTCACAAAACAAAGTTCGTCCATATGTGCAAGCCTGTTAAGATTGGGGATGCATATCAGGGTGGTGAAATCAGAACCCATTTCCAGCAGGAACAGCCAAAGACTTGTAGCGACCCAGTCACCCACATACTTGACTGTTCAACTCACAGTCGCTCACTGGATCGCGAGGCTTGTCTTTTTTCTCATACGCACAAACACGTCGCATTAAGCTGACACATCGGACATCGATTGTCTGCACAGCCTAGTCAGCGTAGCAACCACTCATGTGCAGACGCGCCCACATACACGCACTGGGACCTACATAAACGCAAACCGAACCCAGTCAAGACACACTGGGTCGTTACAACTACTCCCCCTCCAGCGAAAGAGAAAAATAGGTGCGGAAGACATCCAACAGCATCGAGTGAGCATGGTCGAATCGGTAGTCCGAAGTGGGAAAGGTACCGATGTGTGAGTGAGTATGGCGAAGTATCTTTGAACGTTGACATTATAGACAAAGTCTTGTCCATGAACGTATGTCTTTGTTCATATTCGCCATAAGAAACGTCGAATAAAGAGTTTCAGAGATGAGAGTCCGTCGGGGGTTGAAATGTAATGTAGAACATGAAAAAAAACTTGCCAGCGCATTGCTGATGGAGCGAGTGGATGCATGAAGTAGTTCCAGAATGATGGAAGATGGACAGACGCGGCATCGATATTTGGCTGAGGTAATAGGGGGGTTGGTGACTGAGCCGTAGGAGTGTCAGACATGAGTAGAAATATGAATATATGGGAGTCCAAATGAATAATTGTCAGGATTTACCTGAGTTCAGTCACGTCAGGCTCACCAGTTATTAGTGCACAGGTGACGATAGCCATAATACAAATCAGAAGGGGAATGTGCACTAATAAAAGCTTTTAGTATTTCTGCGACACGTATAAAAATAAATACAATGTGAAATGGGAGCAAGTCAAAAAGGGAACTTATCGGATGCGAGAGTCCCTTGGTGGAAGTCCGGACGGCGGGAACGTGTTTTTCTCCGCAGTTAGACTGCTACACGTACTCCATGGTTGTCCGTGGACTTGTGGAGAGGTTGACGTCCTGCTCCCTGCGCGCGCGCGAGTCTGTGTGTCTTGACTGGGTTTGGTTTCTCTTTATGTAGGTCCCAGTGCGTAAACGTGGGCGCGTCGGCACATGATTGGTCGCTACGCTGACTAGGCGGTGCAGACAATCGATGTCCGATGAGTCAGCTTAATGCGACGTGTTTGTGCGTATGAGAAAAAAGACAAGCCTCGCGATCCAGTGAGCGACTGTGAGTTGAACAGTCAAGTATGTGGGTGACTGGGTCGCTACAGCCTATCAGTGCCACTTGTAAGCCCCTTAGGTCACTTCCAAATGCAACAGATACTCGACACGACTGGGTCGCTACAGCCTATCAGTGCCACACCCTTAGGGCACTTTCAAATGCAACAGATACTCGACATCAACTGGATACCCAAAGTTAATTTGATGGGTGGCTGTAAACTCCGAAATTAACTCACGAAGTTCCAGATTGAATGTGGTTTACTTTGAGCCCCTATATCATCCTGAGTTTTGATTGGACAATATACAATGACCGGTGAAAACGTTCCGCGAAAATTCACGACACGTACCTTTCAATTCGCGCAAGCGCTGCCGTCAAGGCTTTTTCATATGAATTGTAGTCGACTGCAAGTGGGTTGAACACCTGAACCGATTCCGATTCCGACCGCTTTGACGGTGAAATGAACGCGACCGGCAAGGTTTCCAGTAACACATTTGAAATGATGTTGTGCCTCAGAGAAGGGATATATGAAGGACGAAGTGGTACGGCGACGGGAGTGAGAAGATCGATCAAGCGAAGTTTCAGTGGTCGCAGACCATATCGTGCCATCCAGCTGGATATATCAATTCTGGGGTAAATTGGAGCAGATGAGTTAAAATACTAGAAAAAATTTCGATTGACTTTTCTGTACTCACTATAAAGAGGACTTGAGAAGGATACGCAGTCACTCAGTCAACTATGAGCCAACAAACCGACACCATTGACCACTAAAACCTCCCCGCATTGTGAGTCTTTGCCATTCAAGTAGAACGCAGTGAAACTCTTCGGCTGAGAGGAATGTGAACTGGCCACTCATGCACACTCCAAACATTTGAATTCTTTGTACAGGTTGTTGCCTTTAATCTCCAGTCACTTTTTAGAATCTTCAAATCTTATCTTAGTTTCCCGTAAGCACACTGCATACCTAGTAAGCTATCGAATTCCGGCCGCACATTTGTAGTCAGCTAATATCACTGCCCACAGCGAGAAGGTTAGTATAAAAAAGGAGACGAAAATATCTCCCTGATCAATCAGCAAACCAGATCGAAAAATACTCGGACTTCCCAACCTTGAATTCATGACGTAAAGTTTTTATATACAGATGTGCATAATCAAATATCATCTTAAAAACACACTAGTTTCTTCTCGAAAAATCATCCAATACCTTGTAGTTCGTGGACGGTAAACTGGGAAAAGTGAGTAAAGTTCACGCACAGCATGCGTATATCGCAAGCCTGGTGGAGTTTTTGCCGACTGTAACTTCCAATCCACAGCCATGACTGGTTGGGTGCTAGTGAAACCTTTCTTGAAAGCTTCTTGTGTGTAAGACCACAGCCAACGGTCCCCAGTTGTTCCATCAAGTAGTATTATAGGACAGATGGTCGATAACCTCACGTTGTCAGCAAAAACTGTGTGCAACGCTCCTGAACGATTATTTCTGACCAACGGTGGAAATTTTTCAAAACAGTTTGTAAGTACATTGCTTTCACAAATGGTTGGCACAACCCTTCATAGCTTGGTTTTCAAAAGCGATTTTTTCACAAGCAAATGACTGGATTAATGGTACCTTGTTGTATCCAATAAGTTGTTGCTTGAGCTTGGTCCAGTTTACCGGTAGGTTAACGCAGAATTCCTTAGACGTGCCATTATGACGCCTTTTATCAAGTTCTAGAATCACTCTTAGAATCATTCTCCATATGTTACTGACTTTTGAACCTATATTTTGTGCTTTGCGCGTTCAAATGTTGAAGCCCAGTGAAATATATGCTCTGCTATCTGGTATCAAAACATTATGATACGTGCACTCCTGCCTCTATATCCCAGTTACACTCTATAAAGTAAATTCATTTTGGGACTCACGGTTTTTCCTTTTCATTTGACTCAGGGTCCTTAACTTGACGACCACCTTGTTTTCCTCGAAGGTTCTCTATAGCAATATAAGATATCCATTGATAATTACAGAATATGCATTTTTAGGGGAATCACCTGCGCTATTAGTCAGGAATCTAGTTACCAAATCCAACGTGTATTATTGGTCAAATAAAGCTTTATTGGTCCTGAATGTGTTAAAATGGAAGAGATTTAGACATTTCAAGGTCTGTTTACTCGATATATGTTTCTCCTAACCCAGCTGTGATACGCTACTCTTTAGCGCTTTTAGTGAAACGTGACGGCTTCCTCTCCAATAGGATTGCCATTCTTCCCGTACCAATATGAGCGCTTCTCTTATGCGACAGAAACTGCTCGTTTTTTAGGTTATAAATGAAGCACTGCAAATGTAACACGCACCAAACGGTACCGGTAAAGGGGGACAACTAAATATGTTGAACTGGGATCCAAGACTTTCAATGTTCGCACTACAATTTGAGGCACTTCACATATTAGCATTCAATGTCTAGGCAGCAGGTGTTTCAAAATTCCTGGAGAAAGCTGAGTCACTTTTGAGTTCTTTTCCAAAATCTTGTTTGTCCTTACGTGCGCAGACCTTCAGGATAACTATGTCACCTGAATCTCGCCTGAATTCCGCTGGTACTCAACAACTGATCTAGCAGTCCTAATGATTGTGTAGCTGATTATGGTGTGCTTGGCTGATGTTCTGATGTTAGAGTCCATGAAATAAAATGGGCATGCGTTCATATCCGTTTTTACCCATAGCTTGGTTGCCTAAAGTACAAACCGCCGTTTGGCGATTCTTAGGTATGATAGGTGCCTGGTTCATATTGTTTGTTATTCTTTCAGTGTAAGAAGTTGCCTACAACGCTAACCTCCTTACAAAGGACTTCTTGACATGGTCACTTCACCTTCGAATTTTAAACCTGTTTGCTTCGAACTAATCTATTGTGGAGGGAAACAAAGAACTAACGAACTTTACGAAGGATGTCCATCGCAAACGAGTGCTCTTCATTTCCTTTTGTAGTAAACGAATAACAGCAATCATATCGAAATACAGGAATGTGTTATACGTTTGATTAAGACACCTTCGACACAGGTGATTTTGCGTTCAATATATGTGATGACACTTCCATGAAAGTTGACAGTTTTGGAGGATGGATGGTGGAGGTCGGATGTCCTAAAACTTTCACGGACTGAGTGGAGCAGAAACACTAAGCCAACGAGTCATGAAAGTGAAGGTGATGATGTTAGATCTGGATATTTGATGTCGTACTTCAGCATGCCTCAGGAGTAATGAGGTCCAAGACGGTTCACGATATTACATTGCTCTCAAAACACTCACAAAGTAATAGGTATGACGAATGCATTGAATACAAAACCACAAAATTACCTTTTGAGTGACTGGCTTCTTTTAGCTCCAATTTATCAAGAATATCCTTCGTTCGGAACAGGGTTACGTGCTCTTTACCTTCGTAGTCAGAGTGAAGCTTTCTCGTGGATGTAACATTTGTTCCCGCTTTAAAGGTTTAGAAGAATGTGTAGGACAAAAGAACGAAATGTGCCTCTATTACATTGGAAAAGTAAATCAACCGGATGGTAAGGACAATGAGGATAATGTATACGGATCGGAGTAGAGATAGCAAAATTGAACTCGGAAACAGACACCTCCAGATGAGACAATAAAGTGAATAACCTCTCTCCACAAAAGATCTCGCACGTAATCACAGCTCTGAATACGCTAGGCTAGTAGGCTTACTTTTAGGCGCCATTCTGATGGAAATGGTATACACTATCAGCTTAAATGTATCCCAAAAAGTGTCAATTTTTCATCTTCATTGTCCAGGGTCTAAGGTGCAACCTGAGTTTTCTAATTTATTTTCCCACTGGAGTGCTCGTCATCATAAAATGCAGTAGCCCGGACATATCATATTAGATTTTCTGGCGTCCTAACTACACGCATCGAACTGGGACTTCTCCTTAGACACTGTGTAGCAGAAAACCACTGTGTTTGGCACAAACAGTTTTGGCGGCTAAAAGAAAATATAAGCCACAGTTGTGGTTTTTACTTTCTCTAATGTAGGCCGCGCCACCTCTGGGTCTATTTTGGTAGAAATTTTAATATTTCATACTATTGACGCTCTCCTTGTCTAATTTTCGTTGTCCATTGTTCCGGCAAAACAGATTTTATAAGCCAGTCACCTTCAGAGTGAATATTGGTCCATTCTACTTGCAGTAAGCGTCTCGTCGACTATATTCCATAAGGTAAACTGATCCTAGGCATCATCACTTCATCATCAAGTGTCATCAATGAAGTAGAGCTCTTAAGATCGCCATGGGAGGTCATACGAGTGCTTCAGCTGCTTTTGTGAAAATAAATTAGGCTGACCTATCTAAATCAACCAACCGAACTACTCCAAAGAACTTTTTGAGACTCTGGTTATCTGATAGGCTACATCAAGTTCAATGAAGCCTGTAATATAGAAGCATTTTACAGTTCATGTCAATACGCGTTTCACGTTACCAAACTCAACATAGAATCTCTGACCCAGTGCTGCTGGTACGGATATGTGTCAGTCTTCTGAGTGATGCAAAGGATGGACGGCCACAAATATGGGGTATTCATGTAAAACAGCTATCAATCAAGTGGCTTATTATCCACCAGAATGAGCGAAGGGCTGTTGAATCACTAAGAAATTTGCAAACCAAATGACAATCATATATTTGTATTTGTACATAATATTGGTGGTTGATCAAACTATCGTTGAGCTCTTTGCTGGGTTTGGAAATTAGCTGTCAAGCGTTTCGTCACCAATAAAAGTGATGTCACCTTGGTTAACCACCAGTTAAAGCACTCGAGCTGCAAATATTCCAATACTTCGGTAAATTTTTGCGCATATATATATATATATATATATGTGATGAATCGTAAAAGCCTCAGAGTATTCACCAGCCGATCTTGGTCCCTCAGGTCTGTATGAGCATCAAGGACTTGGTTGTATGCCGCACCATAATCGGCTCCGACGGAATCTTCTTACTACGTACAGGCGTCTAGTAGCCTTACAGCTGTTGACGGGCAAACCCAATTAGAATGTCAGGCATTCAGATAAGATACCCGATGTCAGTGATCCAAGCGAAAAAATTATATAAGTGGACACAAAAGATAGGTTATTTCGAAAATGTGTAACCAAAATTGTGCTGTTGTTATGTATTCTGACATAGTTTTCGGTTATGCATTAGTGAAAGTATGTTGAGTCAGATGTGTTGCCAATTCCTCAAAGGAACTCAAAACAGTAGTTACTACATTACGAGTTATCTAATTCGGAGCTTGTCTTGGTATTTTCATGAGATAAATCAATAGGAGTAAGATATGGGGCTCCTCAGTGTAACGATCGAAATCCATTCTTCTCCACACATGTGCAGGATTGGTTTGATGACGCTTCTTTTAGTAAGTAAAACGGTAAAATATGGATCGATGTTTTAAAGGTGTGGAAAGCCTTACAACTGAAACTAAAACAAGTTTATTACATAGAAGCTCGTTGGTTAGCTCGTTGATCGCATTCCACAACCAAATGATCAGGTTGTACCTGTTTTAAACCAATTTTAATGCCTTATTCCCCATCTAATAGTTGTGTTTTCTCAAAAAGACGTTAGCATGACCATATGCTCACAAACATTTTTACCGACTACAATGGGAATAATTGCACAATTCTGGCGTACCAAGCAACACCCCATGATTTCAGTGATAGGTCATAGAAGACAAAACACCGGAAGCATTTCTAATCCCATTTGTTCTTTAGGCTTGTGCGTCAAGCTGGTGACACCACAAAGAACAATAGATGTGAAGCAACTAAATAAGCCCAAGCTAACGTACAATTTCATGTTTGTAGAAAACGTTTAAATCCTACCTTTATTTTCCTGTCGCGGCATTTTCCTCCACTGTGCAGGTTTGATCTTTTCCGGTTCGGTCTGCCCCCTCTCTATCTGCCTGCTAGATCCAGCCATTTCACTATCATCAGCAACATTCGTACCTGGACTGTCAAATTTCATGGTATCCGGTTTTGGACTGTTCTTTCGCGGACTGCTTGGTTTTGCAATTTTCCAAACACGTTGACCGACTCGGGGTAGCAGCTCACTTTCATCGGACTTCTTCAATCGACTGGGCTCGGATGTTCGTTTGCGTTTTCTCTGAATCAACGCTGACTCCTTAGCCAAGCGCCTGCACTCATCCCGCAACTCAGCCATTCTCTCTAAACTTCGCAATCCCAGTCTGTACTCTGTGCGAAGAAGCCTGATATCTTCACTCTATTGAAAAGATGATAGGAGTAAGTCTAGCGGTAGATCCAGTTAACGGATCCGAGCAACATTCATACCAGCTAGCCTTACTGCTAGCACACGGTTGATTTTACAAACCCAGGGACAGGAGCCTTTCTACGGGTGAATAAGTAGGAGTAAATCACTCTCCCATTCATCAGCGCTTGCTTAGGCTTCCCAAGAGAGAATCAGTTACCACCTTTTCAGCATCAGAAAATGGAAGTTTGACAAACGAAGACCACAATATTAAGCCACTCAGCAATTTTCTGAAAAATGCACTAGCATAGTGCACAAGAAGTCACTGAAAAACACGCCATGTTTTCCGAATTCCTCGGACGCTGTAATATCCAAGACAGTCACGATTGGAGCTGACCCCTAACTTACGACAGAGCATCACTCAAAGTAGTTCGAGCAACAACTGCAACTCATAAAAGTACTTACGAAGTGACTATCAACTACATTTTGGCTGTACCGGCTGCGTAGAGCCTCCCACAGTCGCTTGACAGAATCGCTGGCAAATGGAACCTGATGTTGAATGTATCTAGATTAAATCCTTGTGCGCCGCATGACCGACTCACCAAGTAACACTATAGTGTACATTTTTAAACGGAACACAGATGCANCGGAAGAACTCACAGATGCAAGAGCGTCGCTTCATTGGTGCTATTGTTCTTATACTTTACGAGGTAATGGAACTGTTGAAAATCAATATCAGGAGTGACTGCTAGATTTTAAACTGATGCTAAATCAACCGAAAAGTTTGAACGCAACTCATGGTGTATTAATGATTAAGAATTCACTGTGAAATAGTGTCATCACCAAGTAAAGGAAACAACGGCAGCCACATCTATTATTACATAATTGCTCAACCAGTGGGAATAATTCTCGATTTAGAATTGCTTCGAAAAAACTTCACCATTGGTAGGTGCAAGGCACATATGACCTGAGTGTAGAATACGAAACAACGGTCGGTTTGATCGCATCTAGCCGAAGCTATCAGGTTCACTTTTACCAGCATGTGGAAGTTGGTCTGTCTCCCAGTTAAGGGGCCAACCAGATAACAAGTAGTGTGAGTTTGTTTATTTATGAGTTTAATGAATGTTCTTAAGAATTTAAAAAAATATTTTAAGTTGGGGTTACATTATTGGGGCAGTTACACAAAAAAACTGCATAACGTAGGTCTGATGAAAGCGCCTTCTAGCATAACTGGAGTACACGAAGTTATGAAATTGGAATACGCAAGGTCAAGCTTCAGAACTTCAAGGAGTACTAACATAATATCATGAGTGCGCAAACCGATTAGATCAGAAAACTCACCTCCCACTGATCAGCTGTTTCCGGCGCTTTTTTTGTTAGTGTAAAGTATTGGAATCTGCCTCCAGATTCTTTGGCTAGATCGAGCAGAAACTGGTTTGCTTCGGGATCTTGACAATTGAAACTGATGGCGTGAATAGGAATACGACTTTGTAAGTGCATTTTGAGAAGAATGGTTCTGGGGGCTTGATCAGGACGACCGTCAGTTAGTAAATAGATGCCTTCAATCTGTGTATCAGAGAGCGCAAACTGCAGAGCTGCCAGTGTATTGGTCGAACCGCCACATGTGAGATTTTTCGCCCAGTTGGCTGCTGACTTGAAGGAATAAATTAACAAGTTGCAACTACAGGCTTTCAGTAGGGCTACTTTTTAAGGTAATATCATACAAAAATACTTGTAGACTATTCGCCAAAGACATAACCCCTGGTATGCGTGTCCATATGTCTGGCCCCACCGGAAGCTACCGACTTGTGCTGTTCGGCCTTCATTGATGCGGTGGTCCAGAGGGCTGCACTAGGAGTAAGCCAGTGCCCCATGAATTAGATGAGCTAATAAGGAGCAGCCCGACGAAGAACAGCACGCACCGTATTGCAAGAAATCATATTGTGATACAGTCTGGGTTGAAGGCGTACTGTCCGTTGCGGTAGGACTATGGGAAAAGTTGACCTTCATGTGGTCGACCATTTCACATATGAAGGAAGAATGGTTTTTGAAAGCAAAGCCCTCAGAACTGCGTTCCCCGATCCATATCTTTGTTTGGATGCTTTTAGGTTAAATCATCGTCCCTTTGGATAACGCTGTCAGGCTAATCGGGTTACAGGAAGGGGGCTTCAAAATAGCTCAGCAACCACTGTCTCAAGGCTAGAAGTTTTAAGCCAGAAGCTAGAAAAAGATTAACCAAACAAGGCCCTGTGTCTCCTTACTGCTTTATGAGTTGTAATTGTTGACCAGGGGCTCGAAATGGATACCTTAATTAAACATCTTCCTTCGGCCTGGGTGACCTGGAAGTATCAGTTGCCCCTGAAGGTTTTCATTCACCGAACTTCTCCCGTACTTCTTTCAAAAAAATCTTCCTTATCCACTAAGGTGATAAACACCTAACCCAGACTTTCTCATCTAAGGTTCTGTACAGTTAATTCAAAGAGAGCAAAACCTCAATAAATTTGGCGCTTCATCTCTACATTAAGCTATCAGGGTCCGTAATCTGCGCTATCTTGGGTGACAGACATTGTTACTTGTAGTTTGCTTTCACTTTCACCTGATGTGTGTTGTGTCCTCCAAACACACATGACTCTAAGTGGGTCAGTTATCTCAAACCGCTCCCGTTTCGCTGTTTGTGTGTCCGATGACACTGCTGTAACTGCTCTTTGTTGCTATGGTTTGGGGGGTGTAAACGTTCCCAGTGCTGGAGGAGTTTACAGTAAGTAAGTAAATAGTCTCTTCACAAGTCACCGAGACAACTCGACTGAAGTAAATGCAATTCGACGCGCTAAACAATGTTTATTTGTCGTGTTATCGTTAAACGACAGCTTAGAAGCTGAGAATTCTAGCTTCTATCGGGACCTGTCACGACTGCTTCCGACAGCAAGAATTACAGATAATGTGGTCCTAGCAGGCAGTAGGGAATTATAGGTTGGCTGCTTAATCTCTAAAGGTGCCCATCTTAATAGCCGATTTGCAGTTGATGTATACTGCACAGATAATGCGGGTCGAATTCTTCAGTTATGTACACAAAGTCATTTGTTCCTACTCAGCACAAAATTTCAGCATATGTTCTCTCTATGTGCTACTAAGAGACCTCTAACTGCGAACCGGCCGTGTGCCCAGATGGACAGTCTGACAGTCAGTTTTCTCTGCGCAGCTCCGAAATCTTTCATTTTTCTGGGCTACAAAAATTGACTCTGACCGTGGCTTTTCACGGGTACGCATATCACGTCACTCACTCCGGGACTAGGCCCGTTGCCCCAAAGCCATTCAGCTAATACTTATATCTCAGAACTGAGTTGACTAAAGTGGTTTCAGAAATAAAATAGCGTCGTGATAATAGTAATCGACCGGAGGACGATTGGAAATAGGTGAAAGTTTCTGAAACCTTTTTTCTGGGATAGCCTGCACACCCAAAACCACACTGACTACTGCCGCGATTAGCAGATTTGACTGATGCTAAGAGGACTGCGTAAAGAATAAACGACTATGGTTGCGCATTTAAAGTCATCAAACGTTCAATTGCGAAGAGCTTGAGGGTGAATGGCGAATCCTGCTGATTAGCAATGACCTAGGTGATGGGGAAAGATTTCACCAAATGAAATGGCCAAACCCTGGCTGACTTAGCCCAGTCCGTTAGTCCCAAGAAGGTGCATGTTAGCGCAACTATTTTCAAACAGGATGAACGCGTGGGTCATTCACGGGAACGTATATCTAGAAGTTGAGCTGAACACTTTCAAGAGTAGTCCATCTGGATCCGACCACGAAGAACGAGAATAACTCTAGCAGAACACCGACAAATTCTCCATCGGTATCACAAGTCCAACGCAACAGCGCATCACGTTCAAATGTGCTGCACCATTTTTTGAAGAAGGCTGTAGATCTCTTGTGAATAGTCTGAAGGCCTTACATAAAAATACCTGTAATGCGGATAGGGTCCACACAGGGTATAGAGCCTCAGCTATGATTACAACCTCCAAAGTTATGCAAGAACATTATGAAAAGCCACTTAAACGTCGTTCGAGCGGAAATAACCACAAAGAGGCTGCACGATATTAAGCTATGTGGATCGACCCATCGTCCATTCAGTCAGATTTGTCAGGCTGAAGTTCAGATTTCCTCCTGACAGAGGTTACGTTCGTTTCGATACGAAGCTGAACTTCGCTATTTTCTACAGTGACCAAAATGGCTGCTTTATTGACCAAACTTATTACTTGTGAAGTATCCTAAACGTTTCCAGCACCCCACGGTCAATTGTACCCTCCTTCTGGCTCACCTGGTGGGTGTGGTCCAAGAGCTTCCGTCAACTGACTGAAGCACACTTTGTGCAACTTGCGAAATCTACAGTTGCAAATTAATTTGGTCCTAACGAGTAAAAGTGTGTTGGACAACTATACTGCAATGTCCTGAATAATGCACTGAAGTGTAAAAAATCTTTCAGGTGCAGCACCCTTTCGGTACTGAACTGCCACACCACCAAAAGGAAGCACGAGGGCTGGGATACTGTTAGGCTGGTCAAGCCTAGACAGGGAAAGTCGAGAGGCAGAGGTCGGGTTCGAACCACGGACCTTCCGGTCAGTAAATTCGTGCTTTAACCACCGAGGTATAAGGTAGCAGTTAAGCAATACAATCAGTTGAAAAATATCATAGACGAGAAATTTAACTGGAATTCAGTTGGGACTTTACTCTCATGTTTCCTTCGGGTAATACAGGAGCGAAGCACCGAAAGGGTTTTACAGCTGACATCAATCATTTTTCAGATTTTATTTTAAGAAAAAGTAATTTTGACGGAGACTCAGGGACTCTATCCAGTTACTGGGCCAGAGCGAATCCGGTCGTGGAGTGTCGAAGAGTTTTAGGCAACGCTATAAGTAATGTGTTCTGTCTAGACAGTATACTGTGATCTCCTAAATACCTTACCAAATGAGGAATGAAGCAGCCTTTATGCAACAACTTCGGTTAAAACACATCATAGATAAGACATCCAGATAGAATTTATTTGAGTTCTGGATAATAACAAGCTATTTTTATGTATTTCAGCATTGGTTGTCACCTTTGGATTTTGTCGGCCACCATAGGCCTTGACAGTGTTTGGTATCGAAAGGAATACCTCTGGTCTCTTGTGTCTCACGAAGGCTCTATCTATCCATTCTGGTGAACACCTGCATGTCTAGGGTAACCTACCTCCCAAATTAATCGTCAAATGGTAACAGACAAGACTGTGGTGTTTTGAGTTTTAAAGATGCCGCTTGAAGTTTCTCAAGTTTCCCAAACACTTGGGAAACGAAATCACCCCAGGGAGTTTGCTTACAGGCATTGAGTTCACTGAGTTCACTATGCTAGAACCATAACGCTTAGAAAGACAGGTTACGCTGAAAAACAGCTCATAATTCCGAGCGATTTAACATCCGATTCACATGAAAATGTGAAATGAGGAATGGCTGTAGTAAGACCAAAACCTCAGGCTTGCAGATGGACTGATCGATTAAGTAAATAAGTTCATCTGTCACAGTAGCCGCATAAACTCTGCGGACTGGCGAAAGAAGGAATAATTTCTGGAACTGAGAATGATAGGACACTGTTTGCCATCCTACGATGTTTCTCGTGCTGAGCGTACACTACTGAGGTAGGATTTTCACTAACATATGGATCAGAGGAGTGACTGCTGCGTGCAGCATTTCTTCGAAGTTTCTTCGCGTATGGTTACGGATGTCCCTCAAATCTCACGGGTCTAGTAGGAAAATCGGTCAGTGGTGCTGAAGTTAACCAGACTGCTTTAGGAAAAGTAATCCTCCCTCGATGGATCAACTGACCACACTCCATGTTACTCACGTTAAGCTGTGTTTCATATGTCAGGAGACAGTTTGATTGACAGGACCCGACTAGCCAAGCCATGTGGTGGATAGAGACAAGACAATAGTAGTCAGTCTGTGACTCTGCAAAAAACATCAGGATGACTACCAGAAAAAAACAGTCGGATTGGAGACCGTCATCTTCCCGGTAGAGGATCTTGGGTTAAATGATGCCGACGGTTAGTGATACTGATAGATATGGCCTGGTTATAGAGACACGGGCGGTCCAGCACCACAGCTGTTGCCTTCGATGCCTCTTGTTTTACTGGGAAAATAGAACAACTGAACCAAAGCGAAGTGGTTGGTTAGC